CTACATGTTTTGAAAAAGCACTAGCATTATCACTAATGCATTTTCCGGACGAATCAAACGAACAAAGCTGTTTCGTCCATTTAGGAATTGAGGGTCCACGCCTCCGTTGAGATGTACCTTGTTAATACAAACACACAATTAAAAACTAGGAAACAAATGTATATTTTCAGATTAGCAATAATAATAGTTCAAACACAAAAAAAAAAAAAAAAAAAAAAACTGAGACTAATAACAATTCAAAAAAGAACCAGCATCACCCTCGTCCTCTTCCAAATGAAGTTCCTCAGAACGTTGATCTTCACGGGAATTATCCATTGCAAAACTTAATGGAAGGAGAAGGAATATGGCTGAAATGAGGGAAAGAGGAAGCCATAAATGGGGGATAGAGACGAGAGACAGAAGTGGAACCACGGAAGTGAAGGGAGACAAAGAAGATTAAATATGGATAACAACTTAGCGTCGAAATATGAACACATTACGTCGCTTAAAACCGACACAATCACTGACTAAACCTCCCCACACGTAACCTGACATACTTTTGACAGAAAGCCTGCACTTTTGACACAAAGCCTGCTACTCTTGTCAGTGCAAGGCTATTGCGTCGCTTTAAACCGACGTTATCTTGCATAGCGTCGAAATAAGGGCCTAGTGCGTCGTTTAAAACCGACGTTAGTTTGCATAGCGTCGAAATAAGCACAGGTTTGTGTCGCTTAAAACCGCCACTATATCTGATTCGACCTATATTATAGCCTGACATAGTTTTGACTGAAATTCTAACATAGTTTTCAGTCATAGGTCACTTTGCGTCGAAATAAGGTCACATTGCATCGGTTTTAACCGACGTTAGCCTGACAGGTTTTCATAACGTCGAAATAAGAGCAAGTTTGTGTCGAAATATGAAAAAATTTGCGTCGAAATAAGAATTGTGTCTGACAGAAAATTTGTCTCGAAAGTGTATAATTTTGCATCGGTTAAAACCAGTCCAAGCATGAGTTGACATGCCAATCACTGACAAAATCTTCCAACCTATTCCCCTGCAAAAAAACCGGGAAACCTCCCGCCCAACATAAAAATAAAATTTTAACTTACAAAAAAAAAGGAACAAGGATAAAAACAAAAACAAAAATAAAAATAAAAAAGTTTAACCCAAAATTAAAAAATAATTAGTTATGTTATCTCATATAATATTTTAATAAATAAATTTATTAAGTTGAATCAATTTTTTTTGCACTGTAATTGTTATTTTAATTTGTTGTTATTTTGATAATTTTTTGTTGTTATTTACTAGAATGGATTAGATGAACATAATTTGAGTTGTTATGAGAAAATGGAATGAATAATATTTATAAGCATTTATGTTAAATTAACAATATTAAATATAACCTAAACTTATAATATTTAGGAATATAAGAATATATTATGTTAAATTAATTTTTTTTGCACTCTAATTGTTATTTTAATTTGTTGTTATTTTGATAACTTTGATAACATTTGGTTGTTATTTACTAGAATGGATTAAGCACCATTGAACCCAAATCAAAGTTGGAAGTGTGGTGATATGTAGAGTTGCTCCACATCGGAAAGTTAATTACCCTAGAAAGCTTAGAAGAGTTGAGTCACCCTCTTGTTACTTATCGCTTCAACTTTATTCATAATATTAGAGCATAATAGTGACTTGGCGTACAAGTAAACTAAGTTCATAGGGAATACGAAAAATCTAACCCAAGAAGACTTGGAATCCTAATCAGATTCTCCTATGTACACTAACACATGTGCTTCATGTTATCTTGTTAAATTGTCAAGGTCTTAAGCTTGAATATTCAGCACAAATGAAATAGTGTGTTTGATAATCTAAAGAATTGTCCCTAGTATTAGAAAGTTAAAAAAAAAAAAAAAAAAACCCTTGCAAAGACGTATATAACGTTGATCAATTGCTTTTGGAGCTTCCCAAAGAAACCTCCTATTTAAATTACGGTTGCCATTGTAATTAATATAGTTGATAATAACTAATATATATATATATAGTGGTTGTTGAAGCCTTGATCGAAACTGGAAGGTAGCACATGCAATGAGGAAATGTACTTGATCATGACTAATTAAAGAGGGCAAATGAAACATACTCGGAGTGGGTGATGCATGGAACATTATAAAACCAGTTTAATCGTTGTCTGCATATCTCGAGACATATTATTACATGCATGTTATAAAGGCGTGCGTATATTGATCAAGTGCAATGTAACATTCAAGAAACACAGCCTATTCATTTGTACTAAATATGTTATTGTTAATTATTTTATAAGATATATGTAAGATAAGATGTCTACCTAAAGCACATGTTTACCTTATAGAACTCCACTGATCATAAAATACTTGTTGTATCAGTTTTTAATCAAGTCAATTAATTAACTCAAAGATTGTTAGGGTCATGAACTTGTAACATTTTGACCACGTACGTATATATAATTGTGTGCAACCGAATTAATTATAAGATGAGGACCTCAAGACATGAACGCAAAGGTGGAAGACAGAAATGTTGTTATCTTATATATAAAAACGCACCGTTTTTGTCCAAAAATGGAGATAGTAAGCCAGTTTGCATTGTGATGGCTGACAATGATATCATAGTAGAGATTCTGCGACCAAGTTAAATGTATTTAGAGAATTTCTCAATATTTACATAAGTAACTACAGAAAATTTAGTTATAGTGGGACTACATAACTGTCGAAATTTTTTGTCCCGTTATTTCATCCCAGAATGTTTGTTTATTGCGATTTTTTTCGTATACGATCTCGAATTATATACAAACATGTTTGACGGTTGGATCGTTGAAATTAGTTTTGTAGAATGCGTATCCTATCAAAACGATAGATTCACTAACACTTAAGAGTTTATTCATATTTTTATTAAGTATAACGTAAGATTTTGTGGTATCCACTAGTATAAATATTTTAATTTGAAGATCGAATTCATTCATTGTATTCATATAGGGGTGTAAAACAGTTAAATTAATATATAATTATTGTAGTTTTTAGGGGTGTAAAACAGTTAATTAATATATAATTATTAAATTAATATAATATTTAGGGGTGTAAAACAGTTAAATTAATATATAATTAATATATAATAATTATTATTAGGGGTATAAAACTGCAAATAATAAAAAATAATTATATATATTATTATTATTAGGGTGTAACAACAGTTAAATTAATATATATTATTATAGTTTTTAGGGTGTGTAAAACAGTTAAATTAATATAATTATTATTATTAGGGGTAAAAACTGCAAATAAAAAAAATAATTATATATAATTATTATATTAGGGTGTAAAACAGTTAAATTAATATATATTATTATGTTTTTAGGGGTGTAAAACATTAAATTAATATATAATTATTATATTAGGTATAAAACTGCAAATAATAAAAAATAATTATATATAATTATTATTATTAGGGGTAATGCATATGATTGACAACAAGTATCTTGCGTCGAAATAGTCTCATATTGCGTCGAAATAGGCTAGGGTTGCGTCGGTTAAAACCGACGCCAAGTCTGACACTCTAGCTAGGTTGTCGTAAACCGACGCCAATTCTGACATACCTGAAATATGTCGTCGGTTAAAAGCGACAGAAAACAAGGAAAAATAAAACAGAAATATAATTTTATGATACAATATCATAGCATACAAAATAAAACAAAGTCTAATTAATACAAAAAATAATTAACAAAAAATAATTAATATATTTATTCCCTGTCATCATCTGTTAGCTCTTCGTCGGTATTGGCATGATTAACGAACCCGGTAGGCAACGCTAATGATTCAAGAAAGGGAGTCTCTTCCACGCCAACCCTTGTATGGAAATTTTCATTATCAAGAATTCGATCATCCAAGTTCGGCGTGGCATAATCATCAATAGCATCACTATCCTCTAATACGTCAAATAAATCTCTTGGCTGAGTTCGAACAACTACGTGCCAATCTTTTTCAATCGTGTCCTCCACGTAAAATGCATGTAATGCTTGTGATGCTAGTATGAAAGGATCCTCTTTAAATCCCAATTGATTGAAATTCACCATAGTAAATCCATATTGATCAGTCTTCATTCCTCATGGACTTTCACTATTAACCCATTCGCACTTAAATAACATCACAGCTCGACCCCTATCTCCTGCTTCAGTAGGACCATAATATTTGACCTCGAACATATCTACAACTCTGCCATAACAATTTACTTGCCCAATTGCTCCAGGAACATTTGCAGGTACAAAGACACCACAGTTTTGATTCTTATGCTTATCATCCACAGATTTTATACGAAATCTAAATCCATGAACAATGTAACTTTTGTATCTACTCACAAACCTACTAGGATAATTAGCTAGCCAATGCAAGTCTTGAGATATCAATGTGTCATTAGCATCATATCTTGAATTCATCTGTAATAAGTATAAAGATAAAAATTGACAGAATAATTATAAACATGTTATAATTAAAATGCAAAACAATAAATAAATAATATGATTATTATATCAACTCACATGTTGCTTGAACCAATTATGGAAATTCTTTCTTGCTTAGCTCTTTAATTTGTCGCATAGTTAACCTTTCTCGACGATATTTAGTTTTCAAGAATTCTTCATGTTGCCTACACAATTATGTCCAATTTAGATAATTATTTTTTCAAAGTTAAGAAAACCAATAAAACATTAAGACGTATGATTAAACGTTCTTACCTTCTAAATGGGCTAACTTCATCACAATTATTTAGAATGTATCTATGGCACTGATCAAGAACATTTAGATCGAGCTCCACATTTTCTCCTGAACCCATATAACATCCTTTCGATTCAAAAATTGATAACCCACCAGATACTCCACGTCCAATACCATCTTCATTTCGGCCTCTACGGGTACGACGAGACTCAACGTCTCTAAGATACATGGAACAAAATGACAAGCACTCATCCATCAAATATGCTTCAGCAATAGAACCTTCAAAGACGACCCTTATTACGAACATAGCGCTTCAGTGTTTGCAAATACCTACAATTATAAAACGAAATACAAATTATTATAATTATTAATTAAAGTTATGACTACAATTGTAAAAAAATTATAAAAATTTATTCATTACCGTTCAATTGGATACATCCATCTATATTGAACAAGCCCTGCAAGAGCTGCTTCATCTGCCAAGTGAACTGGGAGGTGCACCATTATATCAAAAAATGCAAGAGGGAATATTTTTTCAAGTTGACATAATGTCAAGGCAATTCTTGAATTCAATTGCTTAAATCCTTCCTCAGACTCCTTCTTACTACATAACTGTCTGAAAATTGCACTTAACTCTAATAAAACCATAGTAACAGCTTTAGGCAAAACCGGGCGTATTGCAAGCGGGAGTAACTGCTGCATTAAAACATGGCAATCATGACTTTTCAACCCATGTATTTTTCGTTCATTCACGTGCACACATCGCGACAAATTTGATGAATATCCATCTGGGACCCGAATAGTAGACAATACTTTACAAAACGCAGTTTTTTCTTCTCTTTTCAATGTGAACAATGCTGGAGGTCGAAATGTTCTATTTCCTTCTCTACGTGGGTGTTGACTATGTCTTATGTTCAAGAATTCAAGATCTGCACGTGCAGCCAATCCATCTTTAGACTTTTCTATATCTAGCAATGTTCCCACCACACTGTCACATATATTCTTCTCGATATGCATAACATCAAGATTGTGTCTAATCAACAGATGCCTCCAATAAGGTAGTTCATAAAAAATCGATTTCTTCTTCTACTGATTGTTACTACTTGTACTGCTCGAAGCTCTTCTTCTGCGTTGCCCAACTGAAGCATCTTTGTTTGGTTTTCCAAAAGTAAATCTCAATGTAGAAAGTTCTTCGAGACATTGTAAACCAGTCCACTGCCTTGGTGCACTACGATGCTCTCGACGACCATTAAATGTGATGGTTTACCTTCGAAACCTATGATTATCTTCAAGAAAACGTCGATGCCCCATATAACAAATCTTGCGACTCGCTGGCAAGTAAATAGATTCTTTATCATGCATGCAATGTGGACAAGCTTTATAGCCATGTGTACTCCATCCTGACAACATTCCATAAGCCGGAAAATCACTTATAGTCCATAACACGGCAGCCTTCATCGTAAAACTTTGGTTCGAATACGCATCATAAGTGGGAATGCCCACCTCCCACAACTCATTCAGCTCGTCAATCAATGGACGCATGTATACATCAATCTCTTTACCAGGACTGCGCGGTCTTGGTATTAACAAAGACAATAACAAATTTGGTTGCTTCATGCACATCCAAGGTGGCAAATTATAAACAGAAAGCACCACAGGCCATGTGCTATGATCATTCCTCATTTTCCCAAAAGGATTAAATCCATCACTGGCCAACCCTAATCGAACATTTCGAATTTCTGATGCAAAATCCGGATATAAATTATCCAAATGCTTCCATGCGGGAGAATCTGAAGGATGTCTCATAAACTCATCCTTAGGACATTCAGTTGCATGCCATCTCATATGTTCAGCCATATGCTTCGACATAAAAAATCGTTGCAATCGTGGTTTTAAAGGAAAATACCACATAACCTTAGCTGTGACCTTTTTCCTCGAGCTATCCTCGGCATTGGTAATTTTATATCTTGATTTACCACAAACTGAGCACACGGTCAAATCTGAAGTATCTTTCCAATAGATCATGCAATCATTGGGACATGCATCAATTTTCACATACGACAGACCCAAGTCATTTATAAGTTTTTTTGCCTTATAACAGGATTTAGGCAAACAATCCCCTTCAGGCAACATTCTTTTAATTAACTCCAGTAAAGTGGTGAAGATCTTGTCAGACATTCCCGCTAAACACTTGATCTGATACAATCTTACAACTGCTTCCAATTTCTTAAACTCCTTACAACCTGGCCACAAATCTTGACCTGCCTCTTCAAGCAACTTAAAAAAAGTCTGCACCTCTTCTGGACGCCCTTCCCCAATAGGGGGTTCAGTAGATGGCCCAACACCTTCTTCTGTTAATGGTTGGACAAATACATCATTAAGAAAATCATGCATGCCAATCACCTCATCTCCTGTTTCTTCTTCTCCAATTGCCACATTTTGCTCTCCAATGTTTTGCTCGCCATGATGTCGCCAACAAGCGTTTTTATAATCTTTATCCATATCATACAATATGAGATGTTCAACAATGGTGTTCCTAACAAAAGTATATCGATTACAACATCTTTTGCAAGGACATCTAAACTTATCAGGACCAACACCATTTGCAACTGCTTGGTCTAAAAACAAATTAATTCCAGTTGTATACGCTTCAAAATTTCGGGGTATTGTCAACCAACTCTTGTCCATATTTTACCACTTTACGAAGGTAAAATATTACGTTGACACTAAGATGCCTACAATCTTTCAATCCCTATCATGTAGGCATAACTATCAAAATTTTCAATTTCTATCTTTCACCCCTCAAAACTCTATCACGATTGCAATCTTTTAATTTTCAACACCTATGATAGTAAAAACAAATTAAAATAACAACAAAAAGTTATCAAAATTATGCTCATCTAATCCAGTCATAATAAATAACAACCAAAAGTTATCAAACTTATCAAAATAACAACAATTCAATAACAATTACAGTGCAAAAAAATTAATTAATATATTCTTATATTCCTAAATATTATAAGTTTAGGTTATATTCTTATATGAAAGGTTATATTCTTATATGAAAGGATATTCTTATATTATAGGTTTAGGTTATATTCTTATAAAGGTTATATTCTTATATTCTTATATTCCTAAATATTAGAAGTTTAGGTTAGTATTCTTATTAGAGTGCAAAAAAAAAAAAAAATTAACATAATATATTCTTATATTACTCAATATTATAAGTTATGGTTATATTTAATATTGTTAATTTAACATAAATGCTTATAAATATTATTCATTCCATTTTCTCATAATAATTCAAATTATGTTCATCTAATCCATTCTAGTAAATAACAACAAAAAAATCAAAATAAACAAATTATAATAACAACTAGAGTGCAAAAAAAAAAATTAACATAATATATTCTTATATTACTCAATTATAAGTTTATGTTATATTTAATATTGTTAATTTAACATAAATGCTTATAAATATTATTCATTCCATTTTCTCATAACAATTCAAATTATGTTCATCTAATCCATTCTAGTAAATAACAACAAAAAATTATCAAAATAACAACAAATTAAAATAACAATTAGAGTGCAAAAAAAAATTAACATAATAATTCTTATATTACTCAATATTATAAGTTTATGTTATTTAATATTGTTAATTTAACATAAATGCTTATAAATATTATTCATTCCATTTTCTCATAACAATTCAAATTATGTTCATCTAATCCATTCTAGTAAATAACAACAAAAAATTATCAAAATAAACAAATTATACTAACAACTAGAGTGCAAAAAAAAAAAATTAACATAATATATTCTTATATTACTCAATATTATAAGTTTATGTTATATTTAATATTGTTAATTTAACATAAATGCTTATAAATATTATTCATTCCATTTTCTCATAACAATTCAAATTATGTTCATCTAATCCATTCTAGTAAATAACAACAAAAAATTATCAAAATAACAACAAATTAAAATAACAATTAGAGTGCAAAAAAAAAATTAACATAATATATTCTTATATTACTCAATATTATAAGTTTATGTTATATTTAATATTGTTAACTTAACATAAATGCTTATAATATTATTCATTCCATTTTCTCATAACAATTCAAATTATGTTCATCTAATCCATTCTAGTAAATAACAACAAAAAATTATCAAAATAACAACAATTAAAATAACAATTAGAGTGCAAAAAAATAAAAAATTAACATAATATATTCTTATATTACTCATTATAAGTTTATGTTATATTTAATATTGTTAATTTAAACATAAATGCTTATAAATATTATTCATTCATTTTCTCATAACAATTCAAATTATGTTCATCTAATCCCCTTTAGTAAATAACAACAAAAATTATCAAATAACAACAAAATTAAAATAACAATTAGAGTGACAAAATTACTTTAATTCGACTAAATTTTTATTAATTTAACAAAAATAGTAGAATTTTATCGAAGTGCTTAAATTATAATTTTAAAATAAATAAACTTGTGTATTATACAATTTAAAAATTAAAGAAGTTAGTGATACAAACCTGATTTGTTGAAGAATTTGACGTCAACAATTCTTTATGTACTCAACCAGCTCCAATAATTTCCTACAAAAATAAATTGTAACTAAAAATTAAACATAAGAGGAGAAAATAAAAATATTATAAGTAAGAAAAACTTACTGTTGTGAAGAGGAACAAATGAAGTTTGAAAACCAAAGGAGAAAGCTGAAAGAGAGAGAACACGGGAGACTTTGTAAATTGGAAGAACGAATAAGAAAAGTGCAAGAGAAGAAAAAGAAAACACGGGGGAGAGGATATAAAGACCATCAATGTGTCGCTTACAACTGACACTGGGTTTTAAAATATATGTCGCTCAAAACCGACGCAGGATTTAAAATATTAAAAACAAGAATTAGTGTCGCCTAGAAGCGACACCCATAGTTTATGTCGCTTAAAAGCGACACTATTTTATTTAAAGCGACGCCAGTACTTAAAAATATTAAAATATATGTCGGTTATAAGCGACACTAAATTTTTACGTCGGTTTAAAAGCGACATAGAAATTTTATGACACTTATAAGCGACAGTAAATACGACGTCATGTTTAGTGAGTGTCGCAAATCTCTTTTTCATCACTATATAATATTAAACCGACGCAACAACTGCCACTATTAGGTCCTTTTGGAGTAGTGCAATCACCGGAATCTGGGAATCTTGGCCGGGAAACTTTCCTGGCTCCACCTAGCTTCGAAACTCAATTAAAACTAGCAATCTAATATACTAATTTGAAGCTCGAAATGAGAGGAAGAGAAATATACCAACATGGGGTCCTGACGTGGCCGGAATTAGCCGAAAAACGGCTCGAAGCTGCCGGATCTTTGGCCCAAAAACTGGGGAAAAATCTTCCCAGTGTGTGTTCTACTTCAAATCATCCCCCAAACTCATTTTGAAGGTTAAAACAACATAAGTGCTTCAAAATAAGAATGATATGAGGGTCTCGAGGCTCACCATGGTCGGAGAAATGAGTGAACAGTGATAAAAGTCACTATGCGGTTCCATTTTTCTACTTGGGCATTTTGAGCAAACTGGGTACAAAAGTGGTGGTCTTCTGTGAGGTTGATGGTGATGATATGGTGGAGATTTTGTCGTGAGGTTCGCCAAAGAACGGCGAGGTAGTGGTGCTGCTGCTCGGCTCCATTGTTTTTACAAAGATAAGAGAGGGATAGTTTGAGGGAAAGAGAGATGAGAGAGAGAGAGAGATGAGAGACAGGAGGGTAAGAGGGAAATAGGTGAGGTGGCAGCCAGAAAGTGGAGAAGTGAGGTGAGGGAGATTTAAAAAAAATTGAGAGATAGTCCCGAGAGATAGGGAGACACGAGAAAGAGGTGGACGAATGGGGTGTGGGCCCCACTAGCTCACAAAACAAAGCCACAAAAGAAAAACAAAAAAATATATCTCGTAATGTGAATTTACCAAAACGCCCTTCATGCTCCGAAATTTGTAAATCTTTCTCGTAATTCCGAATTCAGTTCTGCTTACACCTACGCGTTCGTATTGTCGAGTACTTCAAGGGTATGCTAAAAGAATATTTCGTATGTCTCACTATGCACTGGTAAACGAAAGTCAACTATCTCACCTCTAGGGCACTTTTGTCAAATCACTCTTTTTAAATTTATAAAATCATAAAATTAAGGACGGGTTGTCACAATCTACCCACCTTAAAAAAAATTTATCCCCGAAATTTGAAATAAGTTGCTATACAAAAATACTCAAAGATCAATAGAAAATACATAAAGAAGAAATCAAGTTAGAGTGGTTGCATAAAAGAGAATGTCATTCTGTCGCGATGGATGTGCAATGATTCCTCTTTTATGCCTCCAAACTCATACTTTCCTTCTCCTTCAGCACAATATTATAATATACTAATTTCATAAAAACATAAGGCCAAATACATACATACATACATACATATATAGATATATATATATATATATATATATATAATAACATAACGTCAAAATATATATATACAATAACGTAGATTTAAAATAGTTGTACTGAAATCAAAATTAAACATAGAAAGATTTCATCTACGCACTCGTAGCGTCATGTACTTCGAAGATATGCGTGCAGCATCCTTGGGTCACGCCCAAAATATAATTAAATAAATAAATAAAAATATCTCCTGTGATGTGAATTTACCAAAACGCCCTTCACACTTTGAAATTTGTAAAATATTCGTCGTAATTCCGAATTCAGTTCCCCTTGCGCCTACGCGTTCATACCGTCAATTACTTCAAGGATAAACAAAATGAATCTTTTGTATCTCTCACTATGCGCTAGTCAACAAAAGTCAATAATTTGACCTTTAGGGTATTTTCGTCAAATCACTCTTTTAAAGTTTTTAAAATTGTAAAATTAGTGACGGGTTATCACACGATGCCCTAAGCCTTAGCATGAATATATAGTCTTTATTTAATTGCTTATGATATTATGTATGCATGCTTTGAATTATTAATTACCATGTTTAAATTGTCTTTATGTCTTAATGATTCGCGGCCATTAGGATGTTTAAATAACTGGATGCAATTTCTATTGGATGTCATCTTGAAATTGAGGAATGCTTTCTTGTCGTTAATAATTGTAATTTCACTTAGGATGAACACCACATCTTAAGTGTTGCATGATTTTTCAAAGGGTTTTCATAAAACTTAATGAGTCTTTCATGTTCATATTTGATTCGAACGTTCAGACGGGTTGCATGTTAGATATACGTTCTATGTTAGAGGTTCCAAATTGGACATATATTAGGAAAACCTGACCTTTGAAATATGCATGGGTAATTCGTAAGCAATTGGAAGAACTATGTAGGATTGTTAAGGCCACAGCGGAACACCTCTTTTTTCATTCAGGAAAGCAAACTTCACATCTAGCTAGAACAAACTCCATCCCTTTTGTGCGGCCAAGTCAGGACAAATGAAATTAATCTTCTGATGATTTTTCTAGGGTTCCAAGAATTGAAAAAAGTATGGGTTCTTGGAGGATTGGAGTGAGTGAATCTTCCCCTCCGCCTCTTCGCCTCATCTGGCAAAGCATCGTCCCATTTAGCTCTGTTGCTCAAAATTAGCAGAAAAATATTCGAAACCTAAAACCCTCAAATCAGCAAAGCGAATTCCCACACTTAAACTTCGAAACCAACAAATCGATTTCAAGTGTTAAGCAGCTAGGTTCTAGGTCTTCTAATTCCGGCGAGCTGTTTTCGTACGAACGCCAGCAAACCGTACCGTGTCGTCGTCTTGCCTTCGTCTTCCAGTTTCGAAATTCCAATTTAAGGTACGAGGGGTTTCAAATTTATTTATACAATATTTTTAGCAGACCAAGTGAGCTATCCATCGTTGAAGCAGAGTGGGTAGGATCTGTTGCTCCCTTCTCAAATTGTAATCACCGCCAATTTTCCCACTTTTACAAATTTATTTATACGAGAATTTTTTTAATTTTTGTCTCCTTTTTCTCTGTTTAGCGGTCGATGAAAGCAGAGTGGGTAAGATCAGTTGCTCTGCAGCCTCACCCTCCAAACGCTACCCCATCACTTTGCTTCTCGGCGATGGCATTGGCCTCAACCTCGCCCCCTCCATCGATGGTTTCTTTTAATTCTGCTTCCGTTTTCTTCCTTTTCTCAATTTTATTTCAGGTGCCTGAGAAACGGTGGGAAAATTAAAAGGAAAAGTCTTTTAATTTTCCCATATTTTCTTTGGGTTAATGTTTAACAATTTGAGCTGCTCTGTGTGTTGTATAATCGAGAAATTTTGTTGGGAAATTAGTAATTATGTAACAATTGGATATTTGTATAACTGAATATGTTTACATAAACTAGAGATTGATTTTAAGTATGAAGAAGTACCTATTGGTGGAGCTGGCTTAGATTTGACCCTTTTGCCATTACCTGATGAGACCCTTTTGTCAGCTAAGCAATCGACGCAATTATTCTTCTCGAAGCAGTTGGGCGTAGGTCATGATTGTACTTCTCAATCCGTTTTATTTCTTAATGATTATCCTTTTCAAGTGATATAATTTAGTTAATTGGATTATGGTTTTTGTTTCAAATTTTGGCTTCAATCTCTTTTCTTTGATTCTAATGAATGAAGCGAATTGTTCTCAAAATTTCAAGTTTTTCATGAATATATGTTGCATTTCTTTAAAGCATGATTTGATTTTTTATTGTAATTTCAACATTTTGGATCTCTGTATGCCTTTTTATTATATTATTGCTCATTGGATCGGATTGATTTGGTGTGCAGAATTTGAAATTTGTTGAGGGGGCCTAATGTTACCATTGATGAAGTCTGTGCTTTTGGAAGGTAAGTAGTGATATTTAATTATTGTTTATTGCATTTTGTCAAATTTTATGGGAAATTTTCTGAATTAGGTGTGTGCTTGATCCGAAAAAGTCTCAGAACATTGCAATTCTTGCTTATTGCATTGTGTCCAATTTGGAAGGTAAGTTGTGATTCTGTAAGGATGTATTGAAGGACCATTTGTTTAGTTCGTTAGTGGAATTTCGTTATTTATGTATTTCCGATATACTTGGTACATTGATAATTAAGGTTGAAATGTCATAAGGTTCCCTTGGTTTATGATTGACAAATAAGAAGGAATTGAAGAAGTGGGTTTAGCCTTTTAGGTTAGTGGGGAGAACGGTTACAGAATTGTACTTGTTGTTATTGCAGGGAAATGAAACATAATTGCCGCTTCTGCAAAATTATTGAGTGGTAGCAATTTGCAGATTCCCTATTCAATTGAAGTAATTTGTTTCGAATTTTATTTGTCTTCCTGTAATTTTCTGAAAAAAGGGATTGTTTTGTTGCAAAAAGCAAGGCTATGCTCCCATTTCTTCAAGACTTGAAGTTTTCTATATTCCCTGGCTTTATCTTCGAATTCAGGTATGTTGTTATTTGATTGCATTGTATTTCTTGATTTGAATGAAATGGATGCATCTAGTCCCGCAATTAAACATGAATTCCATGGAGTCCCGTAAATTTAATCATAATTGGTAATTTTGATTAATTTTTTAAAATTTTGACTGATCAAAACAGTTTCAATATACTTATTGTAAGTGCTATGAATAGTTGGTTTGATGTAGTTTATCGCTACTCCAATGACTACAAAACACTCAAGTAACATGTACAAATTTCTTCTGATTTCACAATTTCCATGAATAATTCATGCCTTTTGTTATGTTTACTTGATTTCTAGTATCATCATGTTACTCGTCAAATTGTTAATTATGTGTTTTTCCACATCTAATTTCTAAAAATGATTTCCATCCGTTAAGAAATAAAAAATAAAAATAAATAAATGATTTCCGTTTTGCACAAAATAAAATATAAGTTTCCCGAATGAGATTGTAAATTTGGCTAGCTTGGAGGTTTTGGGGATGCTGAGAACCAATTATCAGGTCACATTCCCCCGGGTGTAGGAAAGGTTCACAAGTTATATCTATTAAATGTGAGTAGGAACTCTCTCTTTGGCAATCTTACATCCTCTTTCGGAAATTTAAGCTTAGAAGGCAACAACTTCCAGGCAATATCCTGCCAAGTTTAATAGTGTGTCAGAATTTGAGGCTTTATATCTTGGTGAGAACAGTTTTAGTGGTATCATATCGCAAGAAATCATTAGTCTGTTGAACTTGTATATATTTAGTTTACCTCAAGATCATTTTCTCGGCTCCCTACCAGAGGACGTAGGAATTTTAATAAATCTTGAGTATATAGATATCTTTGAAAACATGTTATTCAGTGAAATTCCAGCAAGTGTAGTTAGTTGTATAAAATTAGAGTACCTAGACATGCATGGAAATTTCTTCCATGGGACGATTCCATCAACTTTGAGTTCACTAAGAGTTCTTACAGAATTCTATCTTTCTGACAACTTGTCAGGAGCAATTCCAGAATTCTTAGAACGTTTGAATTTTTTGGAATCTCTGAATCTATCTTATAACAATTTTGAGGGCATGTTGCCGATCAAGGGAGTGTTCAAGAATGCAATGGCGACATCAGTTGAAGGAAATAGCAAGCTTTCTGGGGGCATATCTGAGTTTCATTTGCCAAAGTGCAACTCTCCAGCATCCAAAAAAAGGAAGGATTGAGCTTAACCATGAAATTGGTTCTCTCTCTCATTTGTGGGATTTTTGGAGTTATTTTTGCACTAACCTTTTTGTACCTTTATTGCTCACGGAGGGATAAAAAGATCGCACTTAAAGTAATTTAGACAAACTTCCCCAGATGTGTCATACCAAAGTCTTCTAAGAGCAACAAATGGATTCTCCTCAACCAACTTGGTCGGTATGGGCAGTTTTGGGTCCGTTTATAAGGGAATACTTGAGCAAAGTTAAACTACAATTGCGATCAAGGTACTCAACCATGTTCATTTAGCAGGGCTTACAAAAGTTTTATTTATGAGTGCGAGGCTTTCCGAAATATTGGACACTGTAATCTTGTCAAGATAGTGCATGTTCTGGTTTTGATTATCGCGGTCACGACTTCAAGGCCTTAATTTACGAGTTCATGGCTAACGGGAGCTTGGGGGAATGGCTATATCCAATTCATACAATTGGTGAGACAAATGAGAGGCCAAGGAGCTTAACAATTTCTCAGAGTTTGAATATTGTTTTTGATGTTGCTATGGCATTGGATTATCTCCATCGTCATTGTGAGACGCCAATAGTTCATTGCAACCTCAAACCTAGCAATATTCTTCTCAATGAGTATATGATTGCACATGTAGGTGACTTTGGGTTGGTGAGGTTCCTACCAAAAGTTGCTGAAACACTACGAAAAATATGGGATTTGGTGTACACAAATGAAGAGTTTGTGTCTTTGAGAACACTAATATGGTGGAACAGTGTCCATTCAATAAAGGATACAATGTATTGTACTCAGTGTAAAAAGAAATGGACACAAACACATTATTGGGCACGAAGCCATGCCAAGTAGTGCATATATATATATATATATATATATATATATATAATTATTGGTCTGACAATTGTATGACAAAATATAGGCACAAAAACTTTTAGTGTCTATAAATAGACAGTAGCGCACAATTTGTTTGTGTCTGTGGAACATGCGAACATCTTTTTGCTGAATTGTGATGTTTCCATTTCTACTACTTGATCCTTCTTACAGCTGAGACATTGGATTTTGTTGTGTGCTCCATCTTGATTTTATGAAATTTTCTGATTTATTTCAAATTTTGACATTTTCATTTTCAAAATATAACCTATTGGGCACAATAACAAAAATTGGGCTAATATGCACTTTAAAAAAAAAAAAATCATTATAGACTTTAAGTGCTATTTCTTCGTATATTTAAACTCATCATTAGTGTTGGAAAATAACAGATGTTGGATACACAAACTAGTGCTTGACTGATGCCAAGTCCCGTAGGACTTCTGAGTAAGCAATTTGGTAGGCTTGTAATAATTGGCAATGGAAAGCTCTCTATGGGTCCGAATCTCTCCCATCAAATCCAGTGATCGGGTCCTTGAAATTTGATCAAACAGTTAAAAACAGGAGCCTCTTTAAAAGTTATAATAACTTTAGCCGTTGGATCAAATTTTAAGAGTCCGGTTCACTGAGTTTGGTGGACAGAGATCCGGAGAGGATCTCTTTCCCCATCTATGCATCCATTTTCCAACACTGAGAGACCATCAATAATTGACTGGACTAAATTATGCAGAAGAAATTTTCCAACACTAGCTAAAGTACTTGTAGGCCAGTGCTATGTACATTCCAAAAAGCAAGTTGAAAGCTGAAAACAGATGCATTTTAGCCAAACTAGTTCATCTGAAAATGATGATTTCATTTAATTTCTTGGGTTTTACGTCATGATTTGATATAGCTTCTCATAGGTCAAGTATTACTGGCCTACTTTGCAAATTAATTAGTTGTGCAAGTCTTGATTACACGTTCAAAGCATGAATTCAAATCAACAATCTAATTTCACCACTACTTTAAATGGGGAATCGAACACGATTTATAACAGTGCCTCTTTGCCACCATCTATTGGCAATAAAATTTGACAATCCTTAGAAGAGAGATTTTTCCATGTACATTTGACAGTCCTTAGAAGAGAGATTTTTCCATGTACCTATAACACAAGTTAGTACATTACATGTCATAATGAAGCAGGAAGAAGGTTTTTTTTTTGAAGTATTCCTATATTTATATTATGACACGTGATGCACTGATCCATATTTTGTGTACACTAAAATATACATACGGATTAGGTTGGCGTGACCAAATATAGAGGGCTATGTTTGTGTGAAAGAGTATGCACTATTGCTCCAACTCTTGGAAACCTTTGCTGACCGTCATGTCAACTGACACATACTCCAAGTCTTTTGCCAACGTTCACTTTCAATAGTTCTGTTAGTGTTGGGCAATTCAACCATGCGTCAATGATTACGATAGTCTTAGGTGTGGATCCACCATCCAGCATGTTGTTCTGCGTGAGTCAACTTCCCTATTTATTATAGCTTTGTAATTTGGGGATTTCGTGTACCTAGATATGCTTATACTGGTACTTGACAGAAGAATACAACACAAAAATACAAACCCAAAAACTCTCATCAAGTTTTACACTTTTTAGTCGTCTGATTTTGATCCTCATTGGCCTCTTCGTAAGCAATGGTGTAATTGTTTGGACCACATTCACAAAAATGAAAACTAACGAAAAGTCTAAAAATATTTTAGTTTTAATGAAAAATGACAAATAAAGGTATAGTGAATAGTACCAAGGAAAGGTAAGAACATGGTTTTTCGTTAAAAGTGAACAGTACCGGGAGTGTTTCATTTTTGAAAAATGACTTACTACGCATCTCACATATATCACGAAGGAAATTTTGTTGCGGACAATTTTGCTAACATGGGCTTGTCTTCTCCAACTTTAACTTCGGAAAATGATAAAGTGTAACTTCTTTTTTGTTATCAATAAAATTTCTCTCGTACCGTCAAAAAAGAAAAAAAGTTTTACACTTTTATCTTGGTATCAGATTGGTCATTGTAACTCTTTCCATGCAGAATTATCAGCAATTATTATTGATGTAGAGTTTGCATATCAGCAGGGATGGCATTGTCTTTGGCTGGAAAGTGACTGTTCTAGTGTTATTTTTGCTTTCCAATCGACTGCTTTTGACCCTCCTTGGCCTCTTCGTACGCAATGGTCTATTTTTTTAGATCGCATTCGAAAGATGACTTTCTACACCTCTCACATATATTTCGAAGGGAATGTTGTTGCATACAACTTTGCTAATATAGGTTCGTCTTCTCCAACTTTGGTATGGCATGATTCCCCTTTGCTGGTGGCTCGTACTGCTTTGTTTTCAGACTATGCTGGCTTTACTGGCTTCCGCTTCTCAAATGAATGTGCATCTCGACATATAGGTTTGTCTCACTTTCTTATTTTATTTTCTTAACCTGTGATCTAACTTAATTTGTTTTACAGGTTTAGACTTTTAGGTTTGGCTATGGAGGGGTTAGGTTTCAGGCCCCCCCCCTCTTTTTTCCTTGTATCATTATTGTTTTCGTTTCTAGAAGGGTAAAATATTATGTCCCCCTTCCTTTTCATGTGTTTTCAATCTTTCTTTGTTTTTTTTCTTCTTGTATTATGAAGGGTTAGGTTTACATCTATCTTGACTAGGTGGAAATTTTTTTATTATCAATAAAATTTCACTCATACAATCAAGGTTTTCTATATAAAAAAAAATTAAAAAAAAAAAGGGTCACGGCTTGTCTCTTTTCCCGGGAAAAAAAAAAAAAAAAAAAAAAAAAACCTAAACCCAAAATTCTATTCATGTCATGTAGCTTCCTTGGATGTCATTGCCCTACACAGAACCAAAATTTACCTGGTGCCTCTTCGTGTTTTTTAAGTAGCACAATAATCCTAATTCTTGTCGTGCGGCTTGTTCTTGGCAATCGACATTGAAAATCTTAAACCTAAGCCTACTGCAACCATGGGAGAGAAGACAATATTGTCTTTTTTTGATCAAGTATCTCTCTCTGTTGATCGAGATAATTCAGGAAATTCGGGAAATGTCTAAATTGCTTCTAGAGATCGTGACCACATGCCGCATGATGAGTCTTTCTTTCATCCATGATTCATCCTCCAACAGAGAGTGTTGTCACTGCCAATGGAAATATTATCCCGGATCAGAGATTGGTCCAATTGCACTCACCTCATTTCATCCTCCAACAGAGGGTGTTGTCACTGCCAATGGAAATATTATCTCGGATCAGAGGCTGGTCCAATTGCACTCACCTCATCTTTATCCTTACACAATACCTTGCTTCTCCCGGAATTATCAAATCATCTTCTATCAGTCAGTCAAATTATCGATCAATTGGGTTATATCGTACTAATGTTTCTACTTTTTTGCTTACTTCCGGATATCCAAACTAGGGTTGTAATTAGGCATGGTACTAAGAGAAAGGGGTTGTATTATGTCGACGATGTGGCTCCTAGGCTCCTAGCAGAGTAAATCAAGTACGTAGTGGGAATGGTGACAAGATTAAGAAGATTTAGTTAAGGCATCAGCGACTTGGGCATGCCTTGTTTGGCTATTTACGGAAGTTGGTTATGTTATTATTTACTAGTATTTCAGACTCTGATAGCAGTCTACGTGTCATTCTTTCCCTATACGAGTTACTGGAAGAAACAAAAAGAATTAAATTTCAGGTGGTTTAGTTGGATCTTTTTCAACCACCATGGGGTGACCCAGTGGTTGGGGATGAATTTTAGACCCTATTCCGCACGACATGTCTTGGGTTCGATTCCTAGCGCTGGTGAATCGCACGATGGTGGCTAGGGGGAGGCTGAAATGCCTATGTGAGTCTTCCCTACCCCCGGAAGAATGGACTGTTGTGGCAAAGTCACCGGCTGGTCCCCTTTTATTAAAAAAAACAGTTGGATCTTTTTCTAATGACTCATAGTGGTTAGACGCGGCTAGAGAACAGGAAGTGGCTTTGATAACTTCATTAGTACCAATCCTAAGACCAAATGCTATCTCAAAAAAGTACGTAGAAAGTTTTGAATGCTAACCTCGGGACCCTTAGCTTCATCTTACCCCTTTAGACAATACGGCTTTCGTGCGTAATACGGCTTGCTATAATCTTGCGACTCTCTTTAGTTTTTTTTTTTTTAATATAAATATTAAAGTCCTTTCAAATAAATTTGGAACCTTGTACAATTACACCTTTTGGTCCCCCAAAGCCGCCTCTGCCGCATTGGTTGTTTGATCTCAGCCTTGCCCATACCTAAATTCCCATTACCTATTCTTTTGTGTATATCCTCAATCCATTCACAAGACGCAAGCCCGCACCCAATCTGGAACTAGAGGAGTGAGGACGAACATTATTTGTTGGCATAAACAAATGACACAATAATGCATCAAAATTAGGAATTGTCATTGTACAATACCAAAGCTAACTATTGTTTTATTGGCATACTATCGATATGAACAGGAACGAGCAATTTTTTATGTATTCGAACACGACCATACTTGAAAGTTGAAAGTTGAAAGTTGATAATCTGGAACTAGAGTAGCGGAGCTTTTATTTATTTATTTTGGTGTGGTAATGTTTCCATTACTTGTTCTTTGGATAATGTTAGGGAAATTAAGTTTATAAGTAAAATTTTGTAAACTAAATAATATGAAAGTTGATAATTGAATTATGAATTAAGCTTTGATAAACATGATGATTCTTATTAGTGATGTATCATTTAGTTTATAAATTTTATCTATAAATTTAGTCTTCTTATCATTACCGTATTCTTTTGTGTATATCCTCAATCCAATCACGAGAAGCAAACATGCACCAATCCGGAAGGAGAGGGTCAGAAGACCTACACTATTTGTTGGCATAAATAAATGACACGACACTACACCAAAATTAGCAATTGTAATTGTACAAAACCAAAGATAAATGCTTTTTTTTTTTTCATACTATCGATGAACAAGAATGAGCATTTTTTATGCATTCGAACACGATTATGTGATGTTATTATTTCACTCAAATATAAAACGTAAATTTGTTATTTTATTAATATACCCAAAATGTGACATACGTCAACATTGTTGCCGACCTTTATTATAACACATATAATAATATGCTACATAACTTGTATTTTTGGTATCCATAAAAAAATTTCAACAAGAACACATTCATCAAGCAAGTCACTGTGTCATACTGTTTATAATCAAAGAGAAAATTTCACACAAAACCAATCTCTCTCTTTTTTTTTCATTTGTTTTAAGTTAAAGTATAATATGTCACTTATTATTACGGTCTAATAATATTCCTCTTCATTGGAAGTGAGAGGTCTTAGGTTCAATTTTCATCAAAGACAAATTTGAACCACATTATTGATAGCACATCGTGATGCTTAACCCACTCTTCATCCTTTAATGTAGATAATATTGTTCGTTAAAAAAAATAAAGAAGAATGAATACAATAATTTTCAAAAAAGCGAATATTCCTAATATTAGTTCACAAAATTAGATGTAAATTGAATTTATTCTTAAAATTAAGTTAAAAAGAAAAGAGAGAGACTTTTTTGGTCAGGTCAATGCTATCCCTCATCGACTACGATATCGGTGGCTGTAGATCCACTGCATGCGTACAGAGCACTCTGGTTATGATTATAAATTGGATTCTGCTAAAGCTGGTATACAAACCATCAGTCCTGCTATACTCTTTTATAAATTGAGTTTTAACTTCCTTACAAAATAAATAGCATCATCATGGGGATGGGGTTTTACAACTCCATTTCTGCATTGTTTTTGTCATCCTTTTTTATGCATGCTTTCATTCCCCACTCTTGCCTTCCTTGTTTCGCCCTTACGGGAAATGAGACAGATAGACTCGCTTTGCTTGAAATCAAGGCTAGCATAACTCATGACCCTTTTAAAGTCCTGACTTCATGGAATGAAACCATCCACTTTTGCTCTTGGCACGGCGTTACATGTGGTCGTCGTCATAAGAGGGTCACAAGCTTGAGCCTAACGTCCATGAAACTTGCAGGATCTATACCGCCACATGTTGGGAACTTGAGTTTTTTGAGAGTCATTGATCTCGAAGCAAACAGCTTAGGCCGTGTAATTCCTCCAGAATTCAGCCGCCTGCACAGATTGCAACACCTATGGTTAAACAACAATTCACTGAGTGGAGAAATTCCCACTAACTTGTCGCGTTGCTCTCAGCTCCTCGGGCTCGATGTTGGCTTCAATGTACTGATGGGAAAGATTCCAAAGGAGCTTGGCCTCTTGTCAAAGCTAAGAGTTTTTTCCATCCACCTTAACCACTTTACAGGAGGAGTCCCTACTTCTTTTAGCAATTTATCATCTCTTGAAGTGTTCTCCGCAACTTCTAATAATTTGAGTGGCACTGTCCCGGATATTTTTGGCCGAATGACCAATCTTAGCTTTCTTGCTTTCGGTGTAAATAGCTTTTCGGGTATGCTTCCTCCCTCAATCTTTAATCTCTCTTCTCTCAGAGACGTTGGTATGGGAGAGAATGAAATCCAAGGGAGTCTACCCTCAAACTTAGGTATGGTCTTTCCGAGTCTCCAAGCATTTTTTTTTTCAAATAACCAATTCAGTGGATCTATTCCTGTTTCATTATCAAGTGCCTCAAATCTATTTATATTGGAGATCGGAGCTAACCACCTGCATGGAAAAGTCCCTCCGTTGACGAATTTGCATAAGCTTGAGTTTTTAAGCCTTGCTGAAAACCATCTCGGAAGTGGGGGAATTGATGACTTGACCTTTCTCTGCGATTTGACCAACGCCACCCATTTAGAAATTCTCGAAATGTTTACCAACAATTTTTGGGGCACGTTACCTCAGTGCATAGGAAACCTGTCTTCTTCTCTTCAAATCTTCAGTATAGCTCAAAATAAAATATTAGGAAGTATCCCGAATGAGATTGTAAATCTGGCTAACTTAGAGCTTTTGGGGATGGACGAGAACCAAATTTCAGGTCACATTCCCCCTGGTCTGGGAAAGCTGCACAAGTTATATCAATTAACTTTTGATGGGAACTCTCTCTCTGGCAATCTTCCATCCTCTTTCAGAAATTTAAGTCAATTAAATGTGTTAAGCTTAGCAGGCAACAAACTTCAAGGCAATATCCCGCCGAGTTTAGCAGAGTGTCAGAATTTGAGGATCTTACATCTTGGTGCCAACAATTTCAGCGGTATCATATCGCAAGAAATCTTTGGTCTGCTGAACTTGTATAATTTGAGTTTAGGACAAAATCAGTTTATAGGCTCCCTGCCAGAGAACATAGGAATTTTAATAAATCTAGAGTATTTAGATATCTCTGATAACATGTTATTCGGTGAAATTCCGGCTAGTCTTGTTAGTTGTATAAAATTAGAGTACCTAGACATGCATGGAAATTTCTTCAATGGGACAATTCCATCAACTTTGAGTTCACTAAGAGGTCTTTCAGAATTGTATCTTTCTCACAACAACTTGTCAGGCACCATTCCAGAATTCTTAGAAGGCTTTGTATTTTTGGAATCTCTGAATCTATCTTATAACAATTTTGAGGGCATGTTGCCGATCAAAGGAGTGTTCAAGAATGCAACGGCGACATCAGTTGAAGGAACTAGCAAGCTTTGTGGGGGCATACCTGAGTTTCATTTGCCAAAGTGCAAACTCCAGCATGCAAAAAAGAAAGGATTGAGCTTAACCATGAAATTGGTTCTCTCCCTCGTTTGTGGGATTCTTGGAGTCATTTTTGCACTAACCTTTTTGTACCTTTATTGCTCACGGAGGGACAAAAAGGGTCAAGCTGCAACTGATTCGGACAAATTTCCCCAGGTGTCTTTCCAAAGTCTTCTAAAGGCAACAAATGGATTCTCCTCAACCAACTTGGTCGGTATGGGCAGTTTTGGGTCCGTTTATAAAGGAATACTTGAGCAAGGTGAAACTACAGTTGCCGTCAAGGTACTCAACCTTGTTCATCGCGGAGCTTACAAAAGTTTTATTGCTGAGTGCGAGGCTTTCAAAAATATTAGACACCGTAATCTTGTCAAGGTACTCTCAGCATGTTCTGGTTTGGATTATCGCGGTCACGACTTGAAGGCCTTAATTTATGAGTTCATGGTTAACGGGAGCTTGGAGGAATGGCTGTATCCAATTCATACAATTGGTGAGACAAATGAGAGGCCAAGGAGCTTAACAATTTCTCAGAGGTTGAATATTGTTATTGATGTTGCTATGGCATTGGATTATCTCCATCATCATTGTGAGACGCTAATAGTTCATTGCGACCTCAAACCCAGCAATATTCTTCTCAATGAGGACATGGTTGCACATGTAGGTGACTTCGGGTTGGTGAGGTTCCTACCAAAAGCTGCTGAAAATTCTTCGGGAAATCAATCAAGCTCTTTAGGGATCAAGGGAACTATTGGTTATGCTCCTCCAGGTAAATACACTTGGTGGTTTATTTTTCCCTAGCTAGTATTTTAAAATTGTGCAGTATTTATTTTAAAATTTTCAAACATGAAATGAACTTTTAACACTTCACTAGAAAATTAGAATCTAATGTTCTGAATTGTGGAATGCAGAATATGGCATGGGACATGAAGTGTGGACACAAGGTGATGTGTACAGCTTTGGCATCCTCCTGTTGGAAATATTTACAGGAAAAAAACCGACCGATGACATGTTTCAGGGAACTTCAAACCTTTATAGCTTTGTGAAGGCAGCTCTGCCTGAGCAAGTGGAAGAGGTTTTGGATCCCGTTCTTGTTCAAGAGAGTAATCATCCTAATGAGGGGAGGGCAAGCAATCGCGTCCTAATCATAGAAAGTTTAATCTCTGTTTTAGAAATTGGTGTTGCTTGCTCAGCGGAGTTGCCTAGAGAAAGATTGAACATCTGTGATGCTGTGGCACATATGTGTCGGATCAGAAACAAACTTCGAGCAAATGGTATATGCGAATAGAAGCTTATTGTTAATATGTGGTATAGCAAGTAATAGTATTGATGTTATGTGAAAGCGTTCTCGTATTTGTTAGATAAAAAATGCAGTGCAAATGGCTAGTTGATCAATGTTTGCCAAACAAACTTATTTGCATCGAATTATGCTTGAACAATGACATTCTAGCTTTGCCAAACATTACACGACGAACACTCTGAAAGAATTAAAAATAAAATTTAAAAAAAGAAAGTTGTCGAAAGTATTCATCAAATTTCAAACCTATGTTGGATTTCCTACTCTCTGTTGAGAGGCTTATCCCTGGTTGAAAATGGGAAGTGTTCCATGGTAGTTTATTGCTTTTTTTGTTTTATTTTTTTAGAAAACCTAGACGGTACGAGGAGAATTTTATTAATAACAAAAAGTAAGTTACACCTAGTTAGGGGGGACATAAACCTAATTCCTCGTAATACAAGAAAAAAGAATAAAAAATACATGAAAAAGAAGGGGTATATAAACCTTACTCTTCTATAAACGAAACAATAAAGATACGAAAATATGCATTCATCAGTCATCCATTCATCAACATTGAGCATTCATCATCGACACGAATGCAGAAAAGAATTTGAGGCTGAGTTCAATCATCCATTCATCAACATTTATCTGAGCATTCATCATCCATTCATCAACATTTATCTTTCGCTCACTTACTCTCATATTTCATTAAAATATTGTTTTACACATAGTTTGGGGGTGGTCCAGGCAACACAGAGGTGGGCATTCATCAAAGCCATGTCACAGAAAATTACATGAGCATTGACGAAATTTTAGGTCTATAAATGCATGACAGAAACACTTCACAAATCCGTATGACTTTCAGAGATATTAAACCATGCTTAATTTTAACGCAGTAGAGGGATTTGATTTACCTTTCATTTTGTAGATCCGAGTTCTTGCAGCCATCTTTGCTGTGTGTACAGCACCTTCAATTGTGAGCCATTGCTCCTTGCAGTTTCTATTCCCCTTGGCCTTACTCGGATCCCCAAGTCTACATACAGAAAACAAACATACATGCATGAGTCAGAATTTCGTTTTCATTTGAGCTTCGGTTGTGAAAACGAAGGGGAGAAATGGTTGGATGCATTTTTATTTCAGATATCGCCAAGTGGAGACCATAATCGCAGAGAGAATGAGAGATCTTTACCTCGGTTTTCGCAGAGGAATGCACGATGGTGACAATCTGGGCTAGAATCAAAGATCGCCATGGCTGGGTTCCGTTTGTGACAGAGATGGAGATGGATTCATGTTTTGACGTTCTGGGTTGATGATAGAAGCTAGGGTTTCAGTTCCATGAGAAATGAAGGGAAAGAGGAAATGAAAGACATAGCTTTCACGGCTCTGGGCTCGCGGGTACGGCGCTAGTTAGGAGAGATGTGGAAACGGGCCTCTAGTTCATGTTTCCTGTCACGGGTTCAACTCTCCAGAGCACTGAAATTTTGCTTCTTTTTCCAATATTTTCCAGCGCCTCTGTTTCTTTCTTGTCAGCAGGTCACCACTTCGAATCCCAGGTGTGTCGCTTTCATTGTCTTTTCTTTTATTTCTGTTCCTGTTTCCTTTGTTATTTTATATTTTCTTTTATTGTTTCTTTCTTTTATTTTCTTTTGTCTTTGTTAGCTATTTTTCAGTTTTTAAGGTTTTAATATTTTTGTTTTCCTTCTTTATTTTTTCCGCACAAGGATAATGTGTGATTTAAGTTTGGGGGTGGGAAGGTAAAATTTTTAGATTTTTAATTTTTAAGTATGCTAAAATTTTTCATTCTTTTTAAGTTAATATTCATAGATTATTTTAAACATTTGAACAAATGGACATGATGGAAATTAATTCCACAGTAGAGTCTTTTCTATTTATTGTTGTTTTGGCACTAATTCATGAGTTATCCTTTCACAATTAGCACATTCACACCAACATGATTTGTGGGGGTGAGATTGAAGCACTTGCTTTTAGTTAATTTTTTATATTTTTGTTCTAAAAAAATAAAGTTTAGTTATTGTTATAAATAAAGTAATAATTGTTCCACCGAGACTTTGCTTAGTAACCAGGTCAGTCATGCCTAATCAGTAGTGATCTCGCGTCAAATAGTAGAGTCTTGGCATGGGGTAAGGTGGTTAGTTGGTTTCGTAGCCTTTTCAACTCGAGTTAGTAAGTCCTTAGGGGCATTCTACACCTAGTGTCCTAAAGCCCTTGTGGTTTGGGAGTCATTGACCTAAAACTCATTACATGGGTTGGATCGAAAGTTTAAGTGAACTAACATTGCACAACCACTTTTATTACTATCTTCTTCTTCTTTTTCTTAAGCCTTTTCCCACCATGTGGGGTCGGTTGCGAGGGATGCAACACGAGAACTTTCTAGGCGGTCACCCATTCTAGTACTACTCTCGTCCAAACTCATTTAACTTCGGAGTTCAGATGGACTAGACTTTGTGGTGGTAAGGGTTAGTCTTTTTAACTTCAAAATAGTTATGTTTGAAGTTAGTAAGTATTAACTAAAATGGACAAGTGGTAAGGGTTTTAGTCGAGTCTTTTTAACCATGTTGATTCATTTTATACCAAATGAAATTCATGAGTTCTTTTCTAATTAATTCTAAATGGCTTAGACTCTGTGGTGGTATTGGTTGGAATTTTTTAAAAGATGTTCTAATTTTAACATTTTTTATGGATTGCAACTTGAAAGTGAAAATTGTCTTAGTCAAGTTTTGTTAAAGTTTTTAGTTTGTTAGTTTTTATTTTTTGTTTTTGAGTTTTGTTTTGCTGGAGGACAAGCAAAAAGCTAAGTTTGGGAGTATTTGATGAGTACATATTATCCCATCTATTTTACCCTATTCTTAGTTATAGTTTATTGGTTATTTTGGTAGAATTTTGATACTTTGTTATGTATTTTCAATGCAGGGCATTCGACTTCCTCTTGAGTAAAAAGTGATCAAACGGATGCATTTTAGAGATTTCAATTGAAGGATGGTCGTGAGTCTTTCAAGATGTTGTACCAAAATTTCAGATTTTTCTACCAAGTGGTTTAACCGCGGCGAAGAAAAGAAGGCACAACGCGTAGCTTTCCTAGAGTGACATTTTTGAACATTGTGGGTATTTTGGAGGTGAAGATGGAATATTTTGAGGAAGATTTGTTTTGAGGATTTGATGGGGACGATGCAGGTTTTGTAACACATTGTGCATAACTGCATTTAAAATATCTCTTACAACTTAAGGTGTGAAACATTTAAAAAGTTAAGGAATAAATAGAAATACCTGCTGCTGAAAGATTAGATTGATCCTAGGGGAGGACATCAGATCTTTTGCACTGTTAGCTGAGGAACTCTTCAAACCATTAATCACCCTTTTAGCCAAACCTGAAGCTGAACAAATATCCAGGCGAGCATCAATCCTGGTCAGATCACCGTAGAGCTCTCCAAATTTTCCGTGCTGGAAAGTATAGCAAAGAGAGCCCAAAAAATCAGCACTGAATCGACTCCTCTTCTTACTGCTCCAAGAATTGCCCTCGTCTCCCCTCAGATCAACTGCCACTGGGTTGTACCCATCCTGAAACCAGGCAGTGCAGCTTCCACCTAAAATGTAATGCCACCATTGACCAGAAGAAGTGAGAATGGCATTACAATTTCATTTTGCAAACGAAAGGGAACTATATTACTAACAATGATTAATTTTGACAATTAAAGAATTTCGTACCTGGCCTTCCCTGGGGCAAACATCAGGAAATAGTTAAAGTAAAAACCTAAAGATACTGCATACTGTCGGCAACGGATCTGGACTTGTAAACACAAAAAAAATATTGAATTGCTCTGTTAGAATTTGTCTCTAGAATTATTTTTATTACTATTATTTTCTTTTACTGCAGTCACACCTACCACCACGGAACACCATGAAAGGAGGTGACATACTCCTTAAGTCTACTGGCTTTTAATTTACTAAAGTAGAAAACTACACACATACAATATAAATGAAACTATGAGGTACCAAAACACATATACATGTATAAAAACATGCAAATATATAAACTAAAAAATTATAATATACACCTGAGTATTGGTATGAAACTTCCAAAAAACTGTAACGAGATAATACAAGTTATCACAGAAAATATGAGTAACGTGTTAAATTACCAAAAACTCCATATACTGCAGCATGAGGTTCTTTAAGACGCACATCATAAGATGGCCGCCAAAACAAACCCTTTTCTTTCTGTATCATGATGTCTTTTCGTGTCTCATTTTGACTCCAAAGATCTTGGCTTTTTTCATAAGAAAAGGCAGCCTTTGCGCAGAATCCAGGCATTAGAGAAGGAGGTGCCTCATCATCTATGGAATTAACTGCCTGGGGATGACCACTGTTTTTATGTACACCAATGTGGTACTGCAATCCAGATTTGGAGACAAGTGATGACATATCTAAGGAAATTGACTCAGGCACATCCCAGTATTTTCCCTTATGGTCAACTAAAAGTTCAGGCCATGCAGCCTCAAGTGTAATATCATGGTAAGGAAGCTGCAAACACCTTAAAGGTTGAGAAAATTTAATGCATGGCTCATAATTTAAACAGGAAGATAAATAAAGGAAATAAAGGTACAGACATGAACTTTTTCACTCAAACAGCTTAGGCAGCACATGTGCAATGTTAAAGGTACTGATATTAACTTTGTCAGTACATGGCTCTTAATTTATAGACATGAAACTTTCCAATTTTATCTATGTTCCCTGCAGTGCATATGTGCAATGTTATCAAGTCATGTAACCTATAAAGAAAAGTGGTAAACAGAAGAAACTTGTAAATTAAGATTTTTGAAGCATGTTGATACATACGAACCTATATCCAAGGTATGTTCAGGAAAGAAATGAAAAAATTGTGGCCTCATTTAGTCTCTAAGATTGGATTGAAATGGACAACCCACTATATTCAAGGTATGTTGACGAAAGAAATGAAAAAATTGTGGCTTACTTGAAGGTAGGAGATGGATTATTTTCCATTCCAATCCACCAAAATGGTAAGGATCAGAAGGGATTATTTTCCATATCCCCCTTCTAATCACCTCAATATGAAAAATCATTCACCCCTATCTTTAATATACCCTCAATATAGTAGTTTGTCCATTCCATTCCAATCCTAGAGACCAAACAAGGCCCTACTTTTCAACAATTAAGAAATTAGGAAACAATACTTTAAGATTATACATGCTGACAGAATCTGGTAAAGTTCATGTGATACATCCCTATAATTACTTATTTTTAACTTCAATTCCTATAAGAGAAATTTGACATATGAAAGAAAGAAAAAATCGTAGTTGGATGATACTACAACCTGGCATGAACAAACCCAAAAAAGAACTTTAAACCTAACAACTCCAATCAGGAAACAAATTATCCACCTAGCCATAGTAATTGTACAAAAAATGAAGAAATTGACACCCATAAATCCCTCAAACTAGCTTCAAAAACCCGGCAAACAAGGGACAAAAGGAATTCTGACTGTTTAAACATTTGATTAAAGGTCAAAACAAGAAAGTAAATGTGTGCCTTATGAAAGAGCATCAATTTGTTGCGGCGTCCTTTTTTCTCACCATGTCCTTCTGTGCTCAACTTTATGGATGAGGACGGAGACGAAAGAAGCTGTGTGCATAATCCAAACGAATAAAGTGACTTGTCCAAGACACGCTTCACCACATCTTTCAAAGTAGGGACCCCCATCTCATCATTGGTAACTTCAGCTTTAATACAAGAAAAGAGTTTCTTCGGGCGGAACTGCCCAATTAATCCAAGCCACCTATTTTCACGCAGATCATGTAACAAGGGAATTAGTATGTCGGACAACTAAGAATGCTAATGAGAGATGACTTTGGTCTAAGCATAGGGATAATCCCAACCAGTGCTCTGATAAACCTGATAAAGCTTTGATGCTCTCGAAAAACATAAGAACTCGCTTGCAAATCAGTAAAATAACAAGGCAACAAAAAATTCATGCTTTATGTGCTATACCACTAGAACTAGGCAAACAAGCTTTGTTCGGCTGTCAAGCTTTCCACTCAATCTCTCTTTCTCACATCAAGTAATTCACCAATAACCCAAAGTTTATACAATATACCAACATCTTCCTAAATATCAAACAAAGAACAAACCAAACCTAGAAGCAGAGGCTCCTTAGCAATTAGTAACATAAAAATTGTTTACAAAAATACGAATTTGGAGAACAAAAAAAAGGTTCATTTCTCAGGAAACAGGAGACAAATTATCTTTCCTAACCTTTTTCCTTTACCCAATTCAACCCCATAACAACAATTTCAATTGTTCTTTTCTCCAAACTTTCCCGGCAACCAAACAAACAACAAATGAATCACACCCATTTCCCATTATTTTCTCAGTAACCATACAAACCACAAACCAATCAACAGAAACACGTAAAACGAAAAAGAATATCCATTAAACGAAAAATAAATTAAATTTGAGAAAACCCAATAGGCAATAGCTAAGCAAAGAAGTTGTAGCCGTGTACCAGTTAGAGGTAGCTGGTCTGAGCAGAGGGACTGGTGAGAGAAAGAACCAAAGTCCTGTAAGAATTGGGGTTGTAGGAAGCTATAACACCCAGAAGAAAGAGTTGCTGAATCCTAAGGGCTCGGCTGGCTCGAGCACCGTCGAGAGGAAAGGGGTCGCCGGGAACGGCCTTGGCCGAGCCCTCAAGGGTCTGAGGCGAAGAAACGTTCAAGTCCCAGAAGGCTGAGTCCATCGCCGTCCTCAGGTTCGCCATTGTTGGCTGTCGAAAGAGTGAGGGAGCGCGAATTCTTTTTGGTTTCGGTTTTGGGGTTCAAGTGGTGGGTTTGTGAAGGTTTTATTTGTCTCTTCCTTTGGGTCCTCGTCTGTCTTGAAATGAGTTTGAACATGGTGTATCCTCTTTATCGCATTTGTGCTAATGACATGATATTAAGTGGAGAAAAACTTATGAGTTATAATTGTTCCATTGGCTTGAGACCTTACCATGGCGATGTATCATTGTCATAGAAGTACTTTGCAAGAAAGAGATTGATGGTTGGGAAATCCGCAAAATCCACCATGGTGTGAAAGGAGATAGTGGTGATAACCTACACTATAACCCACCAGTAGGATTGTATCTAGTGATGTGTTCTTGCTTTTATGTTGATGTGTTGATGTTGCAAGATTGTACACTAAGCAAGTCGGCAATTAAAAACAACAGTATTGAAATATTAGAAGTTCCAACTGCCAACAACATTCTAACCCTTAAATCTACATAGGTGGAAATAAGAAGGGTCCACTGAGATTTTGAATTGGATCTACATTTGACCGGCCCCGCTCGGTGAAGTCGAGTCAATACGCTATGTTATATTTCAATGAAGGAAGATGCTAGTTTAAGGGAGGTGAATAGGTTCTAATTTATAAATTTAATGTTAATATCGATTCTCAAATTTCACATTCGCATCATATGAAATATCCTACATAATAAACAAATAAATGTACACATGGACGTAGGAAAATCCTCGGGCTCCCTCCCAAGTCAGGACAAATGAGGACGGAAAGACTTACAAAACTCATCAACTAGTAGGCAATTTTATCTCTAGGCTTTGCTACTCAAACTCTCTTCAACCTTCAAATGAAAGTGGCACGATACTAACACAGTCAAGTGCAATCCTGGAATCCGTTCGAAAGACAATTGGCCCTTAAATCTACAAAGGAAACGTAATGTGTCAATAACAACTGGATTTTCATCCCAGTAACCAAAACATTCACCCCAGCCACGCATGTTAATAGCCATATAAAGGAGCTCAGCTTTTCATCCTCTCATTTTAAAGTTCTACGCTGATCTAATAGTCGTACATTAAAACACATGAGCAGTAAAACGACTGTACAGATACGTCAGCGGAAAAATGACTGCAAATTATCGAAATCAGACAGGGCATACACTATCACATCCTAGTGTCAACTCCGCCGTAACACGATATTGTCCGTTTTGGGCCCCGATCACGCCCTCATGGTTTTGTTTTTGGGAACTCAAACGAGAATTTCCCAGTATGTCACCCATACTAGGATTGCTCTCGCCCGAGCTCGCTTAACTTTGGAGTTCCAATGGAACCCGAAGCCAGTGAGTTTCCAAAAGGCCTTGTGCTATATGAAGGTGCACATGTACATATAAGGCACGTCACCCTCTCTCCGTTGGTCGATGTGGGATGTTACATACGCGCTTCCACAAGTACCAATTAGCAAATGACTATGTGGATTTTGTAACATATTGTGCATAACTGCATTTAAAAATTCTCTTCCAACTTAAGGTGCACAACATTTAGACAGTTAAGGTATAAATAGAAATACCTACTGCTGAAAGATTATATTGATCCTAGGGCAGGACACCAGATCTTGTGCACTATTAGCAGAGGAACTCTTCAAACCATAAATAACCCTTTTAGCCAAAGCTGAAGCTGAACAAATATCGAGACGAGAATCAATCCTGGTTAGATCACCGTAGAGCTCTATAAGTTTCCTGTGCTGGAAAGTATAGCAGAGAGAGCCGGAAAAATCAGCACTGAATGGATTTCTCTTCTTATTGCTCCTAGAATTGTCCTCGTCTCCCTTCATATCAACCGCCACTGGGTTGTACCCATCCTGAAACCAGGCAGTGCAACTTCCACCAAAAATGTAATGCCACCATTGACCAGAAGAAAAAGTGGGAAATGGCATTACAATTTCATTTTGCAAATAAAAGGGAACTATATCACTAACAATGACTAGGTTGACTACCCATTATTTTTTTACAATTATAGAATTCTGTATTTGGTCTTCTCTGGTGCAAACATCAGGAAATGGTAAAGTAAAAAACTTAAGAGCACTTCCAGCATGGGAACCCCCAGGTAATAACTATGCTATCCACCCAGTGAACAGTAACTGCCCTTAATGAACAGTACTCGCCTTTTGCATCTCCACCGTTGCACTTCAATAGCCCTGACAATAGGCAATAAAATATTATTATTATTTTTATTTATAAAATAATACAAAATAATTTTTTTTCTAATTTCGGATAAGATTTTTAATTGTTCTCGTTGCGCCATGTGTTATTATCCGAAAAATTATAAAATTATACGTTTGTACCATACTTGACCAATCCCAAAACTACTATGCACCGGTCAACAGTATACCATCAATGACCCACAAGACTTTTCCTCGAACCAGGAGGCCAATCACAACGTGACACATGTCGGTATCGAGGCCAATCATAGTGCAACACGTGTCGATATCAGAGGCCAATCACAACACGACACGTGTCAATGTCAGAACAAAGCTAGAAACTCTCTTCTATGAAAGGAGATCATTCTCCCACAATAAACCCTAATGTCATTTGTACTAAACTATTCACTACAACTTACTAAAAGAGAGCTTGAACCTATGTATTTGTGTAAACCCTTCACAACTAATGAGAACTCCTCTACTCCGTGGACGTAGCCAATCTGGGTGAACCACGTACATCTTGTGTTGTTTGCTTCCCTATCTCTATTCATTTACATACCTATCCACACTAATGACCAGAGCAACCTAGCGAAGGTCACAAACTTGACACTTTATGTTGTACCAAAGTCCTCGCCGATTTTGTGCATCAACATTTGGTGCCGTCTATGGGAATCGCACTTATTCCTACTCTTTCCAGCTTTGTCAAGCTGGTTTCCACCATTCGTACACTTTCTTTCGACCAGGCACCATTCTCCAACATGGGGAGTGAAGGGAGCCACAGCACGCAGAATGACATCCTTCTCGCACTTAGTGCAAAGCAACGAAAGAAGTTTGCTCTTCAGGCTAAAGTCGATGAGCTAGAGGCTCAGAACAACAAGATAGCGATAAAGAATGAGATCTTCCAGGAGCAGTATGAGAAGCTCTTCGGGATGCTCCATGAAGCTAGGCATACTTAAACACACGAACTCATCGTCCCTGAGGAAGTCAACCACCACCTGGGTGCCCCCCAACACGAGAGATCACCTGCCTTCAACATGGATATCCCTAATGGGGAGAGAGTTACTCATCAAGGTGTTGATCAACATGAGACCTCTCTCGACCCAGCTGCTTCGACCTAAAGCAGGAGAAGTGGAGGAAGGCACTTTCTTGCAGAAGGAGTAGAATGATCAAAAGTCATTTATCGCGACTGTCGGGACTTCCTAAGGTAACGTCGAGAGAACCCCATCCACATAAGCTCGAAGGTCAATGACCCAAGAGGAGATGGAGACTTACGGAAGAAGGATCCAGCAGTACCTGACTCCACTCAGGACCCCTTTGTCCTACAACTCCTTGAGGAAGTAAACAAGTTGAAGGCCGAACGTCAGGCAGAAATACCTGAATGGAACCAACCTAGGCATGACCCTCTTACAAAGAGGATCCTCGACACCCCCCCCCCAAGCAAAGACAAAGCAGAAGCTTGGCTTACAGCTCTACACTGGAAGGGAGGACCCGATTGAACACTTTAACCTCTTTGAGTCCACCATGGCATATCGGATGCACATCGACGAAGAATGATGTCTTCTCTTCCCCTCTACCTTCTGTGACGGAGATCTGAATTGGTATTGCCGTCTTCCATCTGAGACAGTAGACTCATTTGAGGAACTGAGGAAACTGTTTATCTCTCAATACATCTTCCAGATAGATTGCTTGCATTCTGCAGATGACTTGTACACTATTCGCCAGAAGCCGGACGAGCCACTACGAAAGTATGCCGACCATTTCAGCCATAAGTATTCTCGCTGCACTGAGGCAAATGACAAGACCGCCTTCAAAGCCTTCATGGCAGGCCTACGTGATTGTTTCTTCAAGTACATGATCAATGCCAACACTTGGAAGACTTACTCTGGGGTGATGGCACAAGCTTACAACCACGCCTCCGCCGAAGCAAGGACATACCAAGGGAACCCCCATATGGTTAACCCCTATCAACAAGTGGGAAGTGGAAGTCAAGTTCTACCAAGTGAGGAGATCTTGGCCATTCAGACACCCATTGCATCATCTCCTGCCTTATTTAGCTACTCGCTAAGTCGCCAAACGTATTTATCTCTTGGTAAGAGGAAAAATTTTTACTCTCAGCAAGCCTATTGCAACAAGAGGGATAAAAGTTCGTATCAAGATAACCAGGGGTGAACGTACCGTTGACTATTATGACTATGGGGCCAAGCCTCACTTTTTCAAAGTGGAGGACTGGGTACTAAAGGAAATGTTATTATAAGAAGGCATACACATTACAAATGTTTTGACTCTCAACCACTTGAGATATTTTGTCACATAAGTCATTCGGCAAATATTTAAAGAAGAGGGAATTCAGACAACTTCTTCTGAGTCTTTTGCATTCCTAGCACTAGAACACTTGGTCTACGCTGACCTACCCCTATACTCCAACTCAGAGCTTCAACATGCGTACTTTGACACAAAGTATGTGATACTAAGTGTTATAACCAACATGGTTCATCTATCAAAAGCATGGATTCATGCATAGCAAAACATTCATAAGCATCACTCATGTCAATCAACATAAACATCATACATTCCAACACATCCATACATAAGCCAACTGTGCTTCGAAAGGGTTCAACATACTTTGTGTCATTCGACACTTGCTACAATGTGCCTCGACACCTCGCCCTTATTCTCACCAACCAAGTGATGACATGTGAAGAAAAAACTCATCTTCATGCCACCAACGAGGCGATGAAATGTACAACCTGTACTCTCCTTCATGACACCAACCAGGCGATAAAATGTACAACATGTACTCTAATATCATTTGGCAACTTGCCACTTATGCCACCAACCAGGTAAAGAAGAAACTTATTTTCATGCCACCAAACAGGTGATGAAATGTACAACTCGTACTCTCCTTCATGCCACCAACCAGGTGATGAAATGTACAACCCGTACTTTAATATCATTTGGCAACTTGCCACTCATGCCACCAACCAAGTGAAGAAAGAACTCATCTTCGTGCCACCAACCAGGTGATGAAATGTACAACCCGTACTCTAACATCATTTGGCAACTTGCCACTCATGCCACCAACCAGGTGAAGAAGGAACTCATTTTCGTGCCACCAAACAGGTGATAAAATG